TTGAATATTAGAAAAATAGGCAATAACAATCTCATGATCTGATTTGTATAAGTAAGAATGAATTATGTTACAATAAAGGAAATTAGAAACAAGATTCTAAGAAGCAAAAATTGTATCAATACGACTGGAAGTATTTGATCTTATGAATGTGGGTGAGGGTGTATCATGACAAATGTCATATAAGTCCAAGAAATTCCTAAGAACGAGACCATGTATGAGATCATACTTCCACAGAATGGTTTTACCAGAAATCAATGAGGCGTTGTAATTTGATTAAATCTGCATTGAAATCACCCATGATGATAATGTGAAAACCAGACTGAAGTCTATTATCGATAAGTCATAGTAATGTTATTTGGAGGACTTTCCTTTCTTTAGATTCATTGATATGAATATAAACTGAGAAAACTCTTAGTTTTATATTTTCTTTCAAGTAGAGATCAACATAAATATAACGATCATTATCTAAGAATTTTTTAGCAATATGCTTTGACCAAGATTTGCTGATAAGTAAACCAACACCTGAGAACTTGTTAGAGACGGAACTCCACAAAGTATCAAAAAAGGATTAGAAGAACAACTAAAAGATTGTGAAGATTGATGCCAAGTTTCTGACAATGCAATACAATTAACGTTCTTTTGGTGAAAAGTATCAAGTATTTGCTATTTTTAACATTGTCTCGAAGGAAATATACATTATGAGTAGCAAAGGTGAGGGTGTTTCTATTTAAAATTAAATCTCTATCATCACTATATGAATTTTTTAAGTTGTTATCTATTATGAGAGTGAGTTGATCACGTGATGATAGTAAACTTTGAGGTAAGGGAGCATTAATATTTGTTAGTGGAAAATGGTTTTCATTATCGATAGTATTATTGGGGGAAAAATTAGGTAACAAAAAATTGTTCGTTGTATTAATCATTTAAAGAATATATATAAAAAAAAGGTGTATCTAATTTTGAGATTGGCTGGAATTCAATGCAAATTGTTCAATTTGTTTGAACATTCCGTTCATCTGTCTTTTTTGTTCAGCAATAATAGCAGCTTATTCATTCACTATTAGTAATGTCAGGTTTTGGAATCAAAATTGGTGAGGGTGAAGAGTCATCATTTGAAGATCCAGCAATGCGAGATTTTTTATTAGGCGTATCTTGTGATTTTAATAAAGGTTGAGAAATATGTGAAACTATTAATGGTTCTTTTCTTTTACTAATAACAGTCGAAGAAATTACTGAGGACATAATTGAAGAAAAGGTTTGAAGAAATTCCTGTTTGGCGATTCTAGCATCTAGTTCATTCATATCCTTTTTCATATTAGAGAAGATTGAGAGAATCTAATCCAGTTTATTATTAATTTCATTATTTGGATTGTTAACAGAATCCTTTACAATTAGTTTGATGACGTCTTTTGGTGGTGAAGGTGAAGGAGTATTCTTATTTTTGATGATCTCAGAATAGGATTTGGAAGAACGGTTGGATCGATTGGAATCAACAAATTTTCTAAAGCCAGCAGGTTTATATTTGTTGTAAAGTCTTTGCATTGAATTGTTTTGAGTAGGTGTCTTCGGTTAATAGATTCTTCATTATCATTGGGTGTAATTGATTTTTGTAAAAAGTGGCATTTCATAACAAGATGAGCTGGATCACCACATTTGTGATAGCTTCTAGAATCAAGAGAACACCACATCAGTTGATTATTACCAAAAGCAAAGTTTTGTTGAGTTGCAGTATTGAGAGCTTCCTCATTTTCAAAATGTAAAATAACAAAAGAACGAGGCTTATAATTGTAAGATCTAGGAATATAGCTAGCTCTAGCTTTTGTAGCAAGAATTATATTGTGAAGATCTCTTGCAAAGGTACCAAAAGTAAGATTCGTCAATTTGATACAATGTGTATTTCTATATTTAATTTCTTCTGGAGACAAAGTCCAAGGATTGACATGGAAAGAATCATTCTGGACAAAATGACCCCACACTTGATAAAATAGTTCAATACATTTAGGGTTTTCGTAGGTAATATAGGTATGTTGCCACATACCTCTTACTGTCATTTTAAAATTGGTAACAGTTCCATATTTGGCAAAAACTTGTTTGATATTGGCAGGTTTCATTTGAAGAGGAATATCAGTGACATGAATGGTTTTTTCATTAAATTGCATATCAGCTTTATATTGTGAGAAATTACAGAAAATGTTAATCTTAAGATCAGGAATAGTCACGTGCAAGGCTGCAGTAGCCACGTCTGATGTCACAAAATAGACAATTACAGAATATGTCAAATTGACGTGATAAACTGAAACACCTCGAAACTCGTCATTTTGAGCAAAAATATTATTAATAGTGAGAATAATTTTGCTGTTGTTCTTTTCTTTGGGTGTAAACTTGATATGACTAGCAGCTGCAAAGGGGGTAGCTTTGGTAACAACTGTAAAATCTTTTAGGTCTTCTTTTATATCATCATCTTCGAGATATTCATCAGGATCCAAAAGTTTTGATCTATCTTTGGTCAACTTTGTTGTTATTATTGTTGTTGTTATTCAAATGCGGACTAACTGGTGGAAAATTGTTAGGGGTGGCAATATTAGATATGTCAAAAACTTCAAACTCCATTGTTTTTTCTGGTAAAGAGCCAAAAACTTCTTGGACAATTTCTAAATCAAGGTTGGTGGGAACTGAAGTTGATGTTGAAGAAGACGAAGGAGCTGGTGTAGAGCTAACAGCTTCCTTTAGAGCTTTTAGAGTGACGTATGGAACGAACTTGGAGTCACTATATTTTATTTCGCAGCGTTTTTATGATTCATAACTCTCTCGCATAGCGAAGAAGGTGGGGTAAAACAAAAGAAACCTTCTTTATACTGAGTTTATTAATTAAGTTTTTGTTAAAAATGAACTTTTAAAATTTTTTTATTTCTTATGAAAATTTGGTTTTGTAAAATAGGGGAGAGAGATTTTTTACCTAGTACACGTTTATATATACATATTGAATATGCATATATATATATTATACAATGCAGATAAATTGTTCATATCACAAATTCCCTAATTCGAATCATTTATTAATTAATTTATGTCGATCTGTACGACACACATCCCAATTAAGCGAAAAAGTTAGTAAATTTAGTAATGATTACCACCAATTTTTCACTCAATAACATCTCTTCGTTAACTA